CAGAAACAATACATCCTGAATAACAACCTTTCTCTAGAACTCAGGATGTCCCAGTATCTCCTGGGCAGCTTGTCCTATGCACCTGAATCATTAACAGAAGGCACTTCACACTACTCTGAAGTCTCTTTAATAATATTCTATCCTTGTGTCCACTGTATCTTTTAACCCTTGACTTTTCCTCAAAATTGAAACCACAACTGAAGAAAGGCTAAAAACCTAATCTGGAATTTAAAAATTAACAGTTTTATTTCCTTATTCCCTTATGAGTTCAAGCAGAGAATTTTGCTCACACACCACTTCAGCTAACATGATTTCTTTTGTCCAGCAGGGTAATTAAGTAGTATGCAAAAACATTCTGGTTGTCAAGAGTCATTCCCGTTACGAGTTGTGAGATTATTCCCTAAGGCTCACAAACAGAGCAATCTCTAGCTGTAGAGACTAGGAAAAGCAATACAAAGAAATGCTTAAAAAGTTCTAGGCACCACCTCTACAGATTCATCATCAAAAATCCCAGCAGGCTTCTTGGCCACTCAGAATCTCTCTGGATTTGAAACAGTCTTCTTGATCCAAGGGGAGCTCTCTTCAAAGGAGGAGGCCAACTCCACTGACTTGACAAAGAGAAGAGGAAAGTGGGAGATACAAATTCACCTTTTTACTAGTTTTGTTGCCTAGAAGAAATACGCCACTTTTACATCTGTGCAAAAAAGCTGCAGGTAAGGTCTTTAGCAATTAAAATTCTTATTAGTAAGACACCTTTGCTGATACAGAATGAAAGTTATTTGACAAAATGGGTCCAAGTAAATATTGTTAATATTTCACACAGCATCAAAACAACGTCCTCCCAGACCTTCCAGCAACAGTCCAAGACACTACAAAAAAATAAATAAACCAGGATGTTATATTGGATAGAAAATTATGTAGGCATTAGGAAGACAAATCACATTAATAAAATTCCAGACCTAAAGAAGAACTGTGTTCACACAGACTGTGAGAACTGTAATATGGGGCACCTACCAAAATATGACAACAACTCTCACATGACGATAATCACAATATATACTGAGAGTGATACAAAGTATGGTACTGTTATTTTCCAAATAAAACAAGGTACAACTGCCAATAACTTTCTTTTCAACTAGATAGAAATTGACAGAAGTACAAGAATTCTTGAAATTATAAACAAAAAACGCCATGCACAGCTTTTTTCACTCACTATTACAGAATACCTCACTAGTCTGTAAAGTGTTTAATTTCTGTGCCTTTGCAAAGCTAAAAAACAAATATATGTATGATTTTTAAAAAAATCAGAAGTTAAATATCAATAGAAAACCTTGTCCAAAAGAGTTAAAGGGAGAAGTTTAAAGTAAAATCTGTACAGATAGCATAAAGATAATTTTAAAATATCATACTGCATTCTGAGAATAAAACATGCTAGACTGAATAAACGAAGTAGTGGGGTGATAAATATGAATGCATACCATGTAAAAAAAAAAGAAAAAAAGAAGACAAACACCAGATCTGGCAGGTTACAAGAAAAATACAATAAGATATAAAAAAATATATAGAAAATAGAAATATATCGAAATATATAATAGGAATAAAAATTAAGAGAAAGTAATCTGAAAAAAAAACTTCCTTTTTGGGAGCAAGAATTCTCATACAAAAACCTGCAGAACTAAAAGATGACAAATATGAACATGAAAATTTAGGACCATTCTATTACATTCTTTTACAGCTGCACAGGTGAAGATACCAAATTCATTAAACATTCACTCATCTAAAGAAAAAATTATGTTCACTCTGCATAATTTGTATCTACATTCTTACACATCTCCAAGAGGTTTAGGCAAAATATGAGTCTTGGTATTGACAGAGTCCTTGCTAAACTCAGACTTTCAATGGTTTCCTGAAGAAAAGTAAGATCTAATTTGGTCTCTGTTTTCCATTCTAGGAAGAAGCAAATGCAGAGCATCATTTGATCTACTTTGATTTGATCTGGTATGGTTAATTTTAATATATCTGCTGCCTCCATGGCTGAATTGTGAACATTAGCCTCAAAGACAACAAGTCGTCTTATTCTGGATTACAAACAAGTGTTGTCTTTATGAAATAAAACACTCTTCCCAAAGAAAAAAATGGATGTCTAAAACTGGAGATGCAGCACCTTGGCAGTTAAAATCAGTTCAGAGGTACCACAGACACTTCTAAATAAGAATCTCACATTCAGAGAAGCTGATCTGCAAGCACGGACACACAGTCATGAGAAACTTTAAGTCCTATTCCATGGCCAAAGCACTGCTGTTTCCCTAGTATTTGCATCTGAGACACAGAAAATCCTCTTCAGTATGTTTTAGACATCCTACAATTAAAAATTTCAGCTGCAATGTGAATACTATAGAATGAGAATAATGAGTGGTCAATTATTCTGCATAATCATGTTTGCCTCCCCTGCTCAGTCTCATCCTCTATTTGGTAATCGCTATTTCATATATATTTTCCAAAAGATGAGCTAATGATGACTGACCGTACAGGAATTTTCCTTTTGGTTATGACTAAAGCATGAGTAACAGTGTGCCCAAAAAAGTATTCATCATATGTTCTACCAGCTTCAAAGCATGACCACAAACAGCATATTCTTGTTATTTCCTGTGATTATGCCAACAGCTCCATTAAATCTTTGTCAAAAGCAACCAGATCAATAAATCAAACCTGCAAATATGGCATAAAAACTGTTTAATACAAAGTCGCTTTGATATAGTACCACAAAGGAAAAAAGTCCAAGAGATGAATATATCCGATGCAACCCTAAGACCACCTCTGCCTCCCTTTACTGCCTGCCAAGGTTGCTCTGCAGTAGTACAGAAAAAACTAGTCATTAGCACACAATCAATTAATCACAAACATATAATCATAAAAAATTCAAAATAAATTTCACCTTTATTTGAGACAAGTAGGTAATGCTAACATCATGTTAAGAACTCATAATCACATATCAATATTATAGAATAGAAATATATTAATTATATTATTCTAAATTAAAATAACTTCTTTATAATTCAAAACTAAATATATTTTATATTGTTTATATTATAAATTAATAAAAAATGAAACACTGAAATTTGTTTTTAATTTGCAAATCAACATGACTGAAATTCAAAGCAATTTCTTTTACATGCTCCTTACACAAATTTATGAATACTAGGAGATTTTTCTTGTTCTTTTACTACTAATTGAAAGGAATGAGTTGGGTAGTCCAGGTGATCAGAATGATTCTTTGATAAATTTAAGAAATGACAGGGACCAGTTAACCAAACTTTCTGCAAAAAGTTGATTACTGCATACACAACCTATCAACATTTAAAGGAAATCAGAGGTCTTAATTAGGAAGAAAATTCTCTGAAATATGATTCCATCTGAAAAATGGACTTAAATTCATCACCTTAGAATAGGTATTTGTCAACTGTGTTGTTTTCCTCCCAACTCATTCCAGAGGATTGTAACTGTAAGTATCACAAGGAACCCTACTGTACCTGCCACAGTACTGACAGTATTTGAATTTAGCATCTTCTAGTTTGAAGCATAACTATCAGTTTATTTAGATATAGAAAAGACTACCCTATAGAGTTCCAATCAGAATTTTTTATTAGCCACTAGGTGCTTCCTTTTGCCAATATAGAATATATTTTGATTATCCTATTTTAAATGTATGGAGAAAACTCTGAAAGAATACATGTAGGCAACAGTTGTAAATTTATTTTATCAACAGGCATTGTAACTTTATGTAAACTACTCTCTGGAGAGTTCTATTTGTAGAAGATTGTGAAACCCACCCTGACTCACCAAATGTCACTAGCACTAAATGCACTACAATGAATATCTGCATCTCTCCACTGATATTGTTCTCCATTTCTTAATCTCTTCTCTCTTTCAAATTAATAATTCAAAATACCTACTAATTTTCTTTCTAGCCTTGTATTTCGAGTTTGAGGTTTTTTTGCTTTGCCTACAAAACAAGCCCATGTGCCTCTTCTACTTCATAAAAGATGACTATAATGCACCAAGATTGTCTAATAAGACTCCTGTAATTCTAAAATTAAAACTCACCCCCAAAACACTTTCATTTACTTGCATGCTCTACCAAGCCAACATCTTTGCTATTTCCCAGTACCAGATAAGACTGCACCTTTAAACAAAACACTAAATTAGACCTGATTCAGAGACTTCTGTGTGTCTCTCCCAAGTAACCACGTCCCACACTAAGTGTTCCTAGAGATACAACATCCTCTTTCCTTGTAAAGTAAATTACAAGGAATGCAGTTAGTTTTCAGAAATACACTCCCTGAACAGTAACACTCCAGAGTAAATGAGGGACATGCCAACATGAAATCAATCACAGGTCATCTGTTTATCCCTAAGAAGGCAGTAACACAGCTTACTGACTGCAGTATCTTAAGGATCTCTCCCAAAAACACGTTTCTTAAAGAACCATATGGAAGTTTTAAAATTAAATAGTGAAACAAAGCACAGATATTCAGGTAATCTCAGTCACAAGGAAAACTTGCAGTTCCCACATCTCACAGCTCCACACTTTACTTATCAGAGGTTGTAATACTACATAAATATTTTATTCTTTAAAATTTTATTTAGCCAGTTCAGAGACTTATTCAAACCAACAGAGATGACTCATACTCAGTGAGATCTAAGGGTACCCAATTATCTAAAAAATTACTGGAACACACTCTTATCAATCTGAATCACACATAGTACATAAAAAACCTTATGGTTGCCTCCAGCAATCTCAGGAAAAATAAAAATTCTGACTTACAGTTAAGCCTCCACATTGTAAAAACCATGCATTGTAATTTTGTGATTCACACAGCTGTGGAATCAAAGTATGACATTAAAATTCATCTAGTGGTGACTAGCAGATAAAAAAAACCAAACCAAACACACTTTATATGATATGTAGAGATTTTCTGAGTTGGTCAAGCAAATCTTACCCCAGCAGAATTTTAGCATGAACCTCTTTGTTAGTCCTTGAGATTTCTCTCAAAGAGGTAATTTCTGCATCAAACCAAAATCCTCTTTCTTCTGGTGTCTCAACATTGTAGTTAACCATCACCACATCACCCACTTTTAGTTCACTCCACTTCAGAATGGTTCTTGCTCGGGGTCGAAGATTAACTGTGTCCATTTCTATGACGCCATTCTCTGGGTACCTTGAAAAGCAAAACCAACAACACCAATGATTACGACTCCTATAAAAACGAAAAGAAAGTCACAACTTTTATTCAGAAGTAGAAGTTTATAAATGTTCTTTGGGCACACAAAAAACAAAATCTGACCTAATATCCTTTTTAAAACATAGCTTTCCTCTAAATACAGACTACAAATTTGTCTCATCTCAGATGGGAAAAATAGCCTCCATGAGTTTTCTCAAAAAATAATAATATTAATAAAAATTACATAAACCTAGATATACTTTTCGATAATTTAGTGTTACTAGACAGCACTCTAACTAAAATCCCAACAGAGGAATGAAACCTTTCCAAATTTGAGGTGTTTTTCATTTTAACACAACAGTTTTCTTATACTCCGATGAATGAGGCAACTATTACTTGATACTAGAGCCTACATTTGCACATGTGCTGGAAAAACAGCAGAATATAGATATGATCAAAATATTAATTGTAAAAAAAAAAAGCTAGCCTGTAACAAAAAGTTAAAAGATGCTGAAGTGAAGTTCCTTTTTTCATACTATGTGTAGGCAGATAAAAATGATGGGAGCTACAGGAGTACTACATGACTTCACAGAACACATTTAACAGAGAAAATGAAATTAGTCTACTACAAATAAACAGTTGCTATTAAAATTATTCATTCTTCCTTCTTAACAAACAAAGTTGAGGACGATGTATCTTAAATTATATTTTCATCAAGCAATTACTGGCACTTTAGCAAGAGAACTCACAGTTAATATACCTTTATCAAACCGCATTGCTAAATATTACTTGGAAAAATCTTACTCTTACTAATAAAAGTATGACTCTACCACTTTACAACAGGCCTCCCCCTTTACTGAAGAAGACTATTTCAAGGTCTTGGGAAAACCACATATTGCAACTTACAACAGGAAGAAATACTAAAACTACTGTCAGTAAGAGACTGACAGACTATAACCTGAAATCAGGATGTCCTGAACAGTTGACTGAAAGCCCACCAATGAAACTGGACATATTTTAAACAAGTTCTTGCTTTGTTTTATGCCTTCTACTAAATCTAACACACCAGTTTGCTACTGATGATGTGGGGGGCTGAGGGACAGTGGAGATTTAGTGCTTTAAAGAAGCATGAACCACAACAGTTTAAGAGTGGGTGTACCTTCAGATAAACTAATGGCTAAGTAAAAGAACGTATCTCTAACTACTTACAAAAGTTAGATACAAAGCCTGATTTTAGATCCTAATTATAAAATTTTGTACAACAGAAGTTACATGATACAAAGACAGGTGCTTGGGATCAAGTCATTATCAAAACAGTAATTTCATAAGATGTAACTCCACATTTACTAAGGTGCTTTTGCCCATGTAGTTTCCAAATTCAGTGCATACTGAAAAGCTCACATTTGAAGTTTTGCCTTTATGTTATGCAACTTTCACCTAAAAGAATTACCATACCATTATACTATATTAATTATTAATATTTTAACTGTACTATCCACAAAAAAGATGATTGATTCACCTACAGGATATAAGACAAAGCAAAAAATAGCTATAGAGATCATGCCTATTCTATTGAGTAATGAATAGCATCACATTATTGTACAACAGGCTACTGAAATCTTAAGACAGCTATATTTGACCTACTAATCAGGGCCAAAAGTTTTACAGTAAACTTTTCCTAAAGTTTGCAGAAAACAGCAAGTAGAACATAGTAAATAAAGACTCAGTTTACTTGATCTCTGAAACCAAAATAGTGCTTAAACATCAGGAAACTAGGGAAGCTAAATCAAAAACAGACACAATTTATGTATACAGCAAAATAATCAAATAAGAAATACATATGGGATGGTAAAAATAACCAATAAACATTTTAGAAGTTTCCATGTCACTATTGAAAAAAGAAAATCAAAATATGTGACTTACAAGAGTTGACATCCATAGAAACTTAATCTTGATCTGAAAAATCTATTCTCTTCTGAAAGTAAAATGTCTTCAGCTTCTGTTTTTCCTGGGCAAGCTTTGGACCAACCTTTTTCCCTAAATTCAGATTCATATTATCTTTCTAACCCCTATACAACTCAAAACAGACTGTTCCTATTGTATTGATGAGGAATTTCAAAGACTGTCATCGTTAACAATGTCTCCACGGTTGTTCTTGGAAGTAGCTCAAGAAAAAACTGAGTAGAAGTAAGATCACTTACTTCTTTGCTAAGATCACTTAACAAAAAACACCTCCAAAATCACCTTTTATAAACAGAAACTATTTTCCAAAGGAAGAAAAGGAAGGCTGATTCTCCACTGTGTGCATTTTTCCTCTAATCAACCGATCAGAAATGCAAGCTTACAAACTTTAGAAAAAAACAAATGAGATTTCTTTTGCCACATTTTACTTTTCTTTTGCAAAGGGTTATAGATATTGAATGTTTTTACTGCTGTAACTTCACACACAAAGAAATGTTTTCATGGATGCTGGTGAATGCTAGCAGCTATTTAACCCTTCACATTAGTCCATAACTGACATGAACATATGCTGAAAGTGTTTTCTCATTTATTGAGTTACTTTTAAAAGCCTAAGATCACACTCAAGAGAAAACAATTAGACTAGCATAAATTTGGTACAGTCAAAATGAAGATTACATGGCGCAATTAAACCTTTAAATTTAAAACAGCTGGGGGCAGTTTCTTGGTTTTTTATGTTTTTAGGACATTTGGCAACTAATACTGAGAAAAGGAAGCTGTACCAATAAGTATAATCATAAGAGTTTAATGAATATTATGCACCATAGGATGTCTCTATTTACCTCTAATTTCATTCCTCCCTGTAGTATTTCTAACACTAACATAGCAAGGATTTATTGAGATTTCCTATCTGTGCAGACAGTCTCCATAGCAAAGAATAATTCATAAAGTAAAAATCTTGGTATTTCTTGGCTATGGTCAGATGGCTGGCTGTGGCTCCTAAAATGCTCAAATGCTAGGACACATAGCAGTTCCATGTCAGAATAAACCCAAGCCTGATTAATACTGAGACCTTGCAACTTTGCATGCCCTCTAACACTTTTCCCAGCTGTTACTAGAACAATTAGAACTGGAAAGATAATATTCTGGGAAAAGAAGTAAAGACTTCCCATCCACTCTCCATTCTAGTACGGTGAGAAATGTTACTGCAGATGCAAAAATTTAAAATTATTTTAAAATTAAAATTATTAAAAAATATTAATAAAATGAAAGCATTTTATTTCTCAATCAAAAAATTCAGAAAATAATAATTCCAACCCTGCAATGAAGGAATAGAAGGGTAAAAACAAAAAATGAAACAGAAAGAAATGAACTGCTGGAAGAGGTAAATCTGACTAAGAAGGTAGAACTGGACAAAAACTAGATTCCTACCACCCCACTTCCTTACAACCTGAGGAAATAAATAGTCTTGTTTTGCTGTAGTATTTGAGAAAGCCAAGACAGTGTTTCAAAAAGCACTACACTGGAAGACCATGTAAGCCACAATTAGGAATGGGAAAAATAAAGAAAATATCACTGGAGTAGTTGAGCTGTGCACTTCCAAAAAATCAGCAGGTCTGATAATTTGTTATTACAAGAAAAATAATATATTTCAAAAGACAGACTGGAACACATACTGAATATCAATATAGATAAAAATCAGTCACATGGAACATAAACAGGATTTTGAGAATCTTACTTAAAAACTAATAATGCCAGAATTAAGCAGCTTAAACAAAGAGAAGCCGTATTAATAGCCTGAAGAGAACCATCTTACTTTCCTAATTACTTTAATTCTAAGTTTCAAGAAAAAGTAACTTCTAGTCTAACACCACTGTGATGTGTGGACAATATGGATACTCCAAAGGGAGATAACCCGAAAATAAGAGTATCAAAACAGAAGTTCAGAAATGTAAGAAATACAAAGCATGTTCAATTTGTAATACAATAATGTTGTATTATAACTTTAAGTAATGTGAATATAATGAAAACCAGGTTGACTTCACTAGACAGCATACTAATCATGCATAATAAGTCATGCATTCTTTGAAAAAACTTTCCTCATGAGTGCAAGGAGAACACAGCTAAATCAAGATACATGAGTAAGTAGCAAATTACTAATAAGGAGTAAATCACTAATCACACAATTTTTTCAGCAAAGAATAATTTTTAAATGAAAAGAGTTTAACTGTTATTATTTTAATTGTTCTCTCAAACACATAGTCGGATAGCAAAGCTTCCCTCCCTTTGCTCAAATACCTTCTAAAAAGACGTAAGAAACACCCAGATTGTCTCCTCAAACTATTTCCTTTTCAGTTTGCACAAGGTGTCTAATCATTAGAAATCAAAGTCTTAAAATTAATGCCTCTTGTCAAAACCCGGACTATAACACATATAAATACTCACATTATGAAACACAGAATATGTGGTCAGAAACCAATTGCAAATGGGACAAACAACCTTACAAGGAACAGACTTCTCAAAATGAAGAGCAGTAGTGTGCAGATACTCCCATTAAATACTTTCAAGTTTGAATGATTCCGGTGGCATGCTTTCTAGTGAGGATATATGGAAAAAAAGATACCTGACATAGCAGCTCTTTCATTACTTTTGCCTAATAATATGTATGAAGTAAGAATTTTGAACGAGTAAACAAGCTAATCACTGATATTAGGAACTGGAAAACAAAACCTAGTAAACACTAATTTTTTAGATATATTAGGAACAAGAGTACTCCTTGTACAGTCACATAATCACAAAATTCAATGCAACTTCATTATCAGATGTACACAGCTGGAAAGCAAAGTATAAGGAAGAAGTAGGGGCTACCTCATCTGAGAATGGCCCACAGTGTCTTTTGGTCCCCAAAAATCAATTTATCAGTAGTGTGATCTATGTGAATTCTCAGATACAATCTATTCAATCTCAGTCTACTACTTAAAACTGAAGATTTCAAATTAAAAACATTCTGAAAATGGACCCGTTAAGGAAGTCTAATCTTCATTCCTTGAAAAAGTAATAGCAAGTTTAATACTATTATTCTCTTGACGATCTCTTCAGATGTGGATGACACTTTGGAAAGTGGGTTTTTTTGACCAGGCAGTACTTGGAACTTTTCTCCTCATTGCTTCAGAATAGCCTGTGCTCTCCAGCTGTAAGACTGTGTCTTGCATATTGCTTCAACAGCCACACAGGATGACTACACCTTTTTGACCTCTGTGGCAACACACTGAAATCCTAATTTTCCTAATGTGTGGTACCCCTTTAAAATCCAAGGGCATTACTATACAGCTCACATCAAGCATGAAGTAAACAGAAGCAATTAGTTCCCTAGAAGAAATAACCACAGTGTACTTTATGGCATATGACGCAGATATTACCTCATGGTTTAAACTTAAATTCTCTGATTGTTATAAAACCTGAGGGGAATATCATCAGCCAAAACAATGGCCTTGGGAAAAGTTACCTACACTTGAGTCACACTTAATCTGTACTTGTATGTAAGTTGTTACATTGAAATTTCTCATGCTGCAGAAACATCCAGCCTCCCTGCAGCTTCTGCTGAGAGCCTTCTCAAATGGAAAGACTTTATTACAAATGACTGAAACAAGAAAAGAAAGGAAAATACATTACTTGATTGCAATCCAATTACTTAGGTTAAATCCCTACATCTTCCTGCTGCTTCAGGGAGATAACAATCAAGAAGCTAGTACTCACAGAATGAGAACTGTCTCCCTGCAACTAAGTATACTATAAACAGTGCTACACCAGTTACAAATATGAAATACAATAAGTTAAGAGGAAAGGGCAAATGCTGATATTGTAGGAATGTCCTTATGTCCTCAGCTACTGAAATGTCCTATTTCTGATTTGGAAGTGATTCTTAAGCAAGCTGTGGTGGATATCACCTACAGTTATCTCAGTTAACTTTTGGATCTCTGCATGTGTTGGATTCCTCACAAGTCCTTTTAAATCAGGATTTGGCTTTCTAGGGTTCAAGACAGGTTCATTTCTTCTGCATTTGAAGTCAGTTACTGGGAGCGGAAGAAAGTAATGTATGATAGCATTGTATGAAACCTGATAGCACATCCTGGACTTCAAAGTGTTTAATGGCTCCTTGTGATACCCACAAATGCAAATGTGAAATGGAAATATGGGGAATAAAGTCTAAGAGGAGGAAGTATACTAACAAAAGCCGGAACACACCTTCAAACTGCTGCCACCAAGGAAAAATCTTCATTCAGAAACTGAAAGCAGAAGATGGACTGTCACACAGAAGTTACATAGCTACAAAGGGATGCCAAGAAATTTGATACTGCCTGAAGGTCAGCACTGGTGTAGTGAAACTAGGGCTCTCAAACAAGTTCAAATCTTTTAAACATTTGCATTTAGCAAGGATAGTGACTCCAGCTTAATCTGAAACTGAGTTCTGTTCCTCCCAATACCCCTAGGTTTTCTCCCTGCAGAAATATGTGGGTCTTTTAACTATTGCAGCAATTTAATTAAATACTAGACACATAGCTGGGGTGGGACCTGGTGGTGGAAGAGGTGAGAGAAAACCACTAGGGGAACAGCTCACCAGTGCTGTTATCTACAAAATCACAGAGCAATATGCAGTACCTCCTATCTGTGGCAGTCAAAGCTGGTAGAAGAGCTCTATTTAGTCAAAAGGTAGTTACCCTTTTGAAATCACTATAATCAATTCTTGCCCAGAAAGGGTAATTTCCCTTAACTGTACTCTTTGCAGAAAGATCTCTGTCATTTTTTCCTGTCACATTCACTGTAACTACGCTATTTAAACAAGAAATGGAAAGAGGAACGAATGAACACTGAGTCCCTCAGAGGAGGAACACTTCTATGAAATCTAGAACTGTGTATCAAAGCACTTAGGTTTTGTACAGGATTTGTGATGTGTAAATCTAGCAGCACCGCTGCTAAAGCAGCGGTTTAAGTTTTCTCACTTAAGATAAGGACAAGCCCTACCTCAGCCTTTAAGACAAACTAGTATAGGAGAACATACTGATCTAGGGGGTAGAGTACACCAATTCAATGCATTACAGGTGACCTAGCCCTCAACTGTAACTTTTGTGGTGATTTTTTTTTTCAAACTGGAAGGATGTAACAGACAGAAAAGCATTAGTTATGCTTTGAGAAGTTGTGCACCTGTGCTCACCTCTGACATATAGCCCTTCCAATCTATTAAAGTAATTTTGATGGCTTTACTGGCACCAGGTTTATGTCTTCCATTTTTAAGTAATTTTTACTCTATTTCAGATAAAGATTGTTTTTGTGTCATATAAGAATATCTGTTGTAGGAAAGACAGAGCTGAAACTGTTACCCATGAGAACCATCATCTATCAGAGATAAAAAGGAGAAGAGCTTCTCCAAAACAACACTGCAAGGATAGACTAGAAAATGTCAAGTACATCTGGCAGCAAAATGCTTAATCCAAACCTGAAAAACAAAACACCCACACACCAGTAATTGTGCAGGGCATAGTACTCACAGTAAGATAAGAAGCTTGAAGAAAAGGAGTGAAGAGATAAATTAATGTATTTCTGTAGGAGAGAGCAACTGTGTGTCAAAGCACACTATGATGTTTCTACTTATCAACATCAAGCAAAGAGGTGGCAGAATACAAGAGTTGTCTATAGACATCAGAGGTAAAAACACTAATGTATGAAAACAAAGCGGTAGAAGCACAAATGTAGTTATCATTGGAATGTGCGTGTTGGGTAACACTAAAGCAAAAAAATGTAAGACCCCAAAAGAATTGTATTGGGAACATCCACCAAAAACTTTATCATTCATAAATGTACAAGTTGCACTTTCCAATAATTTTTCTTTCAAAAAACTTTAACTTTTTAACTATCTTAGACTGAGCAGCTTAACTTTGACAATCTTGCCATATTGTAGGAGTAAAAAGATTGTCTCCACCTGGTGAAAGTGAAGTATACATTAACAGAGGTCAATCTTTTTGTTTAGTAAGACTACACTTTGAAAGAAAAATCAGAACTGTTGTGAAACATTTTCTACTTCTGTAGGTCCAACTCATAAAAAATAACAGCATCCACAAAAAAAAAAAACCAAACCAACAAACCAACATAATTTCATTGCAACAGTTACAAACACTATTTTAGAAATGTTTGCCCCATTCCTCACTCATATATATCCACAGTGATGTAAAATCAGATAGTATTAAAGAATTAAAGACAGGTCTTTGAAATCTCACCATCAAAGACATTAATTTCAAGGAAAAATATTTTTGTTTGGATCATAACAGCTAACTATGTTATCTTCAAATGTCTTTTGCAATATTCAATAAAGTACTTACATTTCTACTTCCACCATTTAAATTCTCTAACATTTTAAGTAAAGTGCTTAAAGTTGCAGATATGGAATCCAAACTTAGCATAGAGTCAAAAAAGTGCATTAAGTTGTATCTATTACTACTACAATGAACAAAAAGTGCTCTCTGTAACTCAGATGCAGTTACATACTAAAATACGTAAAGTAGAAATAGCTACTCTAAAAAAGTGTTCCGGAAAGCTACATTTAGTTAATATTTAGTATACTTTGCATCATTCTACTTCAATCTTACATTCCACAGACTACAGTATTTTTACTAATCTCAGTATCAATATTTTAAAATACTCAACTCATTTAAAATTTTATTCGTTTAGAAGCTTAACTTACTGCTTTAACACATCATTACCAAAAAAAATCCGGAACAATTTCTCAAGCAAATGAAGTGGTGTGAAACCTGCCCATAAATACAAAATCCTTTCAAACTCAAGGTTTTCTACCCACACACTGCAGGCTCTAGAATTTGTTGTGACTAGAGAAAGGATAAAAAAACCCCGAACTACCTTGAAAATAACCTCACTCTTAATGCCCTCTCTCCAGCTCAGGATCAGTTTCAAGTACTCAGTCACTATGTTCTCAATAACAAATCTCTACTGGAAGTGCAGATTTAACGTTTTGTGCACTCAATTTGGAGTAAATAAAAAAATAAATAAAATAAAAAATAAAACAAATCCAAATTAAGTAACAAAAATTTGCTTCAATGGGAGCTCTCCTCCAGCTCTGTTTAGAGGAATTCCATACACACAGTAATAATTTTTAAAAAATTTAAAAAATACCTTACTTGAAAAAGCAAACAGTATAGCTTGGTTATATAGTTTCTTTTTCTTATGTAAAAGGATGTATACTCTTATATAGAAAGGATATTCTTCTAAGGAGAAGATATTTATACTTTACAAGTATTTAGGCATAAAAAACATCATTACAGCCAATGGATTTGCTATATCCAACTGAAAAGTGTTATAAATTTTTTAGTATTTTTTCTTGGTTGCAATATTGAGCTTTCTTTCTTTGATTCCAAGCTTCTTCAAGAAATTCTTGGTTTATACAAACCAAGTAACAATATGTGATGTCCTCAAAATAGTATCAGAAGCACTTACTCATCATACTTGATATGATAAATAGCTTCTTCATCAGTGTCCATACAGTCTGAATAAGATGTGGAAGGTGTACTGTCCAAGTTTGCATTTTCTCTAGAATGATCTTGATTTAAGTTTCCATTAGTCCTTTTGTAAGTGTTACCACTCTTCCCTTGAGCTTTACCATTCTTATGTCCCTTTGTTGCTCGGGTAACATTTTCTATATGAGCTTCAAACCAGGCTCCAATGCTGATATCACGGGCATCCACCAATTCATTTATCTAAAAGGAAAATTCAATAATGAATTTATGTTTATTTTATAAAATACCAATTAAGAAAAAAAATAAATCAGAAAACTTACTATGCTACTGCTTAACTTTATTATCAGTAAAACAATCAACTATAATAACTAGCTGCAAGTTCAAGTAATATTCAGTCATTAATACTTTTATTTGCACTTTCAATACTTTATTACTCTCTCTTCATTAAAATCTAGTATAAATATAATTTATATGTAATTTAAAAAGCATGCTAAGTTTTTTTTCCCTTCAGATCTGAAAATTAGCCTGATCTCTTTCATTGTCCTTTCCTTTTGTTTCACCAACTGCTCTTTATGGCTGTGAAAAACACACACAGTATTAAAATGCTAGCTCAAAACCAAAGGGTTTACAGACCTTCCTGAACCTCCAACCTGAAATTATTATTTAAAGTTCTACCTTTTTGTCCTGCAAGATTTTTTTAATCCTTAAAGACTCAAGGACAGATAGGAAAAAATCTAACAAGGTTGCCACCACAGTCAAGTGTGACTGTAAGAAATGAAACTCATTTCCAGAATTTCTCACTTCTGTACTCACAGTATTACTGGTGTTAAGAAACCAAACCACTTTACTATTCTAAATCATGTTATATTTTCTCATATGTTCAGATAATAAATGGATGTTCCTTAATAATACTGAGAACACTGAAAGGAAAGGTTTATAAACCACTTCAACAGTACACCAAGTATGATAAAATTATTACAACAGAACTATTGCAGATAAAAATCTTTAATTATCAATATGAGACACATGCTGATATGCATATACATAAATACATATATGGTTTAAGCTACAGTCTTTGTCAGGTACCAACATTGTGCCAGACAGATACTTACTCTCACACACTCCAAAGGCTAATTTCTAAGACACGGATAACCTTATTGCATTTTCAGTAAGTTTTAGTATTGAGAGGGAAGCAATCCTTTGGTATCTGAAAGGTATCTGACAGCAGTTTGAGCTAACAAGTTTATCCCATTAAAGGAATACTTCCTGTTTTACTCTTGCCATTCCTCTTCTTCAGATAAGTTCCCAAACTTAATGTTTTGTCCTGTCGCATATGTAAAATACCAATGTGTATTTTTATTTTTAATTTCTTAGAATCTACAGTATTCAAAGTACAGCTTATTACCAGGATGACATTTCAGCCATATGATAAACAAATCAGAAAAGGACAACCTTATTTTAAATCTATCAGTCTATTTTAATATAGACATTATAAACATAAATATACAAATTATTATATTAAATTATGTTAATTATTATTTAATATTATTAAACATTCTTAATATTGCATATAAATACATATTAAATATAAACAGTGAATTCTGGCACTTCTAGAAGGAACCTTCATGAAGGCATCCCTATGTAATCTTACATGTTTGAACTAGATGCAGCTCGAAGTGGTGCTCTACTTCCTCTTCTCCAAAATACAGCTGAATGAGATACACACTATTAAGGATTCCCCATCTGCTGCTACTTCTTCCAACCACTTATGGAAGTGCCAAAAAAACCATGTTAGTCAAGTTAAAATCCATCACATCCAGTGCCAGAACAACAAAAAATTGAAAAATAATAATAAAGCAATACATCAGTGCAAACTTCCTCAATCATTCCTCTATAATTCATATGTAATTTGATGCAAATAATTACACAATGTATTTCCCACGCTTGCAAAGAGTAAGAGCAAATAATTATTACCACAGACTTCTGAAGAGCATAATACAACTATATTGTGTGACTGATGTTTGGTTTAAGAGATGTTTTATTAGTAGCTATTTGTGAACAGTATTAAACAAACACTGATTTTAATTACAGAGTCCATTTGTGTGGTTTTTATTCCAAGCTAGTGATCTTGGCTAAAATGTTTTTACTGCAGTCAGTGTCTTTTGAAAAAAAAATTGACCACGTGAGACTCAGAAAATAAAACACATGCATGCTTCTGAATGAGCTTTATTTTTTCTAACTTCATTCCTGCACACCCAAACCACTGTTACTGTAACTGCTCTCTTGCAAATCATCCTGCTATTCTTCCTCTTTCTGGCCATTGCTTAGCCAAGACAGTGTTGTCCACTCATGCCAAGTCCATCTTGAGATGGCTTCCCAGTTCTTAGACCAGACACCACTAACAATTCTTAGTAACAGAAAACAAGAATAGCACATAAATCCATCCACTACTAGTCTTTTAGAACCCATGGAACGGTATCAGATGCCAGGTACAACTGGGATATAAAACAAGCTAAAACATCCTGATTTACATAATATACAACACACAGAGGAACTCTGTTTAAATCACTGTTTTAACCACCTAACAATGATTTAATTATTAACTTTTATTTCCAATATCAACACTACCATTTTTTAAAATGTTTTTTTAATTGCTGGTTCCATACCATCTAACTTTACTTCTGGGAGCTGCAATCAGAAAGAGAGAGCAGGGCGCAGAGGTTCAGACTACCTACAGTATTGAGTAAGCAACAGGTATCTTGTTGAGTCTAGCCCTGGATGAAGATCCAACAAGGCATCGGACTTTGCTCAGGCAGAATAAGTTACAACAAAACGTTTCTTACAGTAAGTAAACTATTCCTTATTGTTTGACAGTGAAATGCAGAATCACTAAATATACCTACCTATTTAGCCACCTAACATGCCTTACTTTATTAGGCCCTAGGCCTTTTTTACCAACTTCCGTTAAATAAGTTTATAACTTTTGAACTACAATACCAGGTAAAAATACGTTCTTCAAATACTGTAATTAGAAATCCTCTGTATATATTCATACCATTACCCATAAATAGCAAACAGTGAAGTGACTATACCCATTAATTTTTGCTTAGATATATTGAAAACACGACTGAAAAAGTAATCACTTCACAAGTAATGAAGGGGAAAGAGTTAGGTCTCTGGAATGAGACATCACAAAAATTTCAGCTTACCTGACAAAATAGTTTTCCTTGAGTATGCTTGCTGATATCACCATTCTCTGTTATATTTTCTGTTTTAATCCTGAACAAAATGACTAATCTAAGAGACTACTTGATATTTAATATATTGAAACGTAACATTCTTGAAAAATAAACATTTTAGTACTGGGTCTATCTGCTGTGTTCTCCCATCTCCCCATCCTTTCTCATATTACCTTTTACGCTCATTGATTAATTGTAAAGCTTCAGAACTGAAGAACTGGAGTTCTTCCTATTGTAAAAAATGGACATAAAAAATAAGCACACAAGCTTGTGTCTCCATATTCAAGCTACTGAGTTTGTGACTCCCTGATTCCTCAGAGAATGAACAGAATTCTAACTGAAATTACCTCGCATGCACACGTGGCAGCCTCTGCTCCATTAAGACATCTGAAATTTGGCCGAGAATGAACCTGTGGTGTTTCAGCTGGTCCTCAGAGATCAGAGGGCTGGGTGCCACTGGGCTTGATTTCTGATTAATTCAGCACTAAGTCTGGTTGTGTTCAGTAACATCTACAATCCAGATTCACCAATAGTGCAGTTTACTGAATCAACCAGGAGGTGGGTTCAGGATTGCCAGTGAACAATGAGCTAACCACAGAGTGTTAATATATGTCATGACAGAAAGTAATACTAACAGAGATCTGCTAGCACTACAAATATCTATATTCATATATGTTAATAAGTATTCATAAATATTATTACATATTCAGCTATAATAATAAATGCTCCCAAACATTAATAAATATTCATGTGTGTGTGAATAAATATTCCTGAGTCTGCTCCAATGCAACTGGGAGGTACAAAGCCTACCTAAATGTGCCCCTTCAGGGGAGGAGGAGAAACAATGTCCATCAACCTATCCCAAACAAATAGAGGTGTTTTCCCCCTCTGTGTTTTGACCCAAAAATACCCCTTCTGTATTATAATTTTTGGTTCTACCCAAAAGTAACAATTTCATGTTATAGGTGGGACAGTGACCACTGTGGTCTTACACAGACGTTCTCTTTTCGTCTGCATTCCTAGGTTTGTGAAAGTTACAATGCAAATAAGACTTAATGAAGATCTTAGTAACTTTTGGTCAAATTTACTGTTGATACAAAAGGTAAAATAAACACTTCGGTCCACAGCAAAGACTCTCTGACCTCTCTGCCCCATAGCCTTTGTGCAGTCCATAAAGAAAACAGACTTTTAATGAGGTTTGTTATACATGGCAAAGGGGAAGTGAGGCTAATGGCTGATACAGGCTCCTCTGTACACCACTGTAACAACACTGGACCATGCAGCCTCTGCTTCACTCCAGGCATTGCTTCATCCTTAGGCCTTGCTTGAGCCAGGTACTAGATAAGACAGAGAGAGACCCAGCTCATGGTTTTCTCAGCCAGCTTTGTCAATTCTTCAAGGATTTAAGGCAACACTGTAGCAAGTCTGTCCATTTACAGCAACCTCAACCTCCATTTCCTTCTCTGTAATTGTGGACAGTTTCCAGGAAAATAATTACTGTTATGGCTATGTCTTATCTAAGAGAAACACCCAAAGAGGAGGTGAAATGCTATCATTCCCTACAGAGAGATATACATAGAGAGATATATATATTCGTATACACACATTCTACTAAATATTCAATAAGCTAGCAATCTGGAAACTGGTCCTTTTCTGTTTAAATTAAACTTCTGGTACTCTGATGTAATCCTTCACAACAATACTGAAAAATTCAACAAGGTACAAAACTAAATGAATACTTGGTATGCAATTCCTAAAAAACCTACATTAAAAAAGGTATCACTACATAACATATAGCTTAAAGAAATTGTGTTATTTACAGAATTTGTCTACTTCTAATGCAGCACTGAAACATTAGTATTAAAACAATTATTTGGCCTGAAGAAAAAAGAAGGGTAAAAGCTACACTTTAACACATTTTCTTTATCAGTTTCTTTTGTCCACAAGAAAGTATTCATTTCAAAGATACTTAAACTTTTTCAATAATGTATTTTGGAGAACATACTGTGTCAGAGTTTGAGAACTCTTCTGAAAACTGAGACTGGTACACGGGACATGCTCATGACTCTCCAAGAGTCAGTATAAATTATGTAAATTTCATTTAAGCTAAATTGGGGAATTAAATCATAAAAGAAAGCAATGAGGATACACTCTTTGATGCAATAAAACAATACATTTCTTAAAAAAAAATAATAATAAAACAATATTAAATCTATAGGCAAGCTTTTAAAGTTTGTACATACCTTGTACAATCCAATGCCAGGATCAATGAGAAAGGAGCGAGATGATGTAGATGGCTGACTGGGTGATCCACTGTTTGTTTTTTTGACTTTATTCTTGCAGTTAGAAATAGCACAGGGATTGACTTCTCCATCCTGATCTGCCACAGATGTAGTGGTAGGAACTTCAGAATCAGAACGTATCAAAAGCTGAACTATGTCATTTAGTCCAACATTGTAGTCAAATAAAGTGTGTCCATCTTCTAGCTGTCAAAAAGAAATGTGTACTCGTAAAACTCCACCTTAAGGTACCTAATTAGTTTTTAAATCTTCTTTTTATAGACAATAATTGCACAGACCAGAAGAAGCAAGCTATATCTTACTGATTAACAAAAACCTGTGTCTTGAGTATCTGAGAAAACAAACTCCTCAAGCTAACTGCAGCCATAATTTCATTCAATGAAAATCAATGGAAGGCTTAAAGCTAGAAACAGACATCTCTACGGACTGATGTCACCTACCTACAATTAAGCTAAAAAACCAAAAAGTGGCAAGTTGTGCACCAGGAAATATAAGAAACAGTACTGCTGTTTTGTTCAATTAAACACTCTTAAAGACCTAGAGCATCTTTGAAGAAGAGATTTGATTCACCTGAAAGTATAATGCATTGCTTTGAAATTGCAAAATTACTATTAGTTACACTTCACACCACAGTGGGAGAAAAACACGCATGACTAAAAAACTCACGTCTTTCCAAACTATTTTAGCAACAAGAAAGTTGTCTACCCTTTTTTTCAAGAATAGGTGTTATTTTCAACACCAGTTGTTTCATAAATCTTTTGAAACAGAATGACTTCCATGAGTTTATAGGTAGTATCTGTACAATGAGAAAAAGGGAACAAGAAGGAACAGAAAAGACAACAAAGAAGCACCTCTCCAGTTTCTCACTAATAGCTTTCTCTTAACATTCAAACAATCTCAGGTAGACAAAACTGGAATCCATATCTTTCTCCATCCCCTCTTCTTTTTCAAAACAACTCTAAGGGGCAGAGTACAGTTATGAACAGAAGCCAAAAGTCAAGCAATAACCAGTTCTTCCTTGAACTTAAAATCCTGCAAAAAAATTAACTCTCCTTACTGCTGATAACTACTGTACCCACATCTGAGACCTGCAAACAATAGTATTCATAGTTTGAGTCAAAACAGCTGAAGCTAACACAGCTGTCTGATCAACAGCTACAGAAAAGAACCTTACTCAACTGCCCATTTTCAAACCAGTTCAACACACAGCACACAAAACCATACTGAAGATTTTCATGCTGGAACTATTAATGCAATGCAAGTCTTACAGCAGAAATCTCCAGTAACTGTAATTGTCCAGGTGACTATGAAAACCACCTCATATGCCTAGCCTTTAGGCTTAGTACTTCATATTGAGAAGCAAGCTGCCTAAGTAACCTTTTCTGTACCACCATAAGTTTCTACACTTTTCACAACTCTTTCACAAAGGGCATAGAAGTGTTCTTGCAGCCCTATTGCAATCCAGATTTGGTGGCTTTTCACACCACAAACATTTTCACTGTTAAGAAGTTTAAAGCATTATTCTTATATTCAAAGTACAAATAAACCTAAAACAAAGACAAATAATGATACTGCAAAAACACACTAGAGAGGATTACCACATTGCTACTGCTTCTCATCACTACTCCAGTCCACAATTAAGACTAAATCCCTCCCAAGTGATTTTTCTTGGTTGCAAAATGGTTAAAAAGTTCAGCAGTACATCTGCAGAACAGACCACTTGTGAAATAATGAATAAATTGGATGTTACCGGAGACACATAACTTCTCCCTTTTTCTGTTCCAATTGGACTGTACAGGCTGTGGCAGAGATTACAGTGTTGTTCCTAGAATCCTGTGGTATCAGGAAATTTTCTGAAAGATAATGTGCTGGAGAAAAAAATTTTAGGTTTGCTCCTAGCAGACCAATGGGATGTAAGCAACATGCAGATGAGCTTTGCTCTTCTGCTTTTGCTCCTGCTCTCTCAGGACAGGTCCTGTGCAGCCTGACAGAAAAATATTTCAAGGTACTTCAGTTTAAAATTTTAAGTTAATTTAGTCAAAATGTAAATGTGAAAACTCTGAATTATCTACAATAGCTAGGTAAATGTCCTATGTCTAGGCTTTGCAATCTATTCTTCAGTTATGACTGCAGATTAAGTTAAATTATTGATCCACAAGTAAGTCTTCCCATTAGCAGGAAAGGTAAAAAACTCGCAACTTTAAAAAAAAGAGAGGAAAAAAAAAAGGAATCTGTCCAGGAATGGTTATATTTAACACACACAGAAACAAAGACAAAAACAATAACAAGGCTAGGCCTTGAGTAAGAAGCTGTCGTCCCCAACAACACACACCACCACATCCAGACTACCTATTCCCGCACAACAGTAAGAGAAGGCTCCTCTCTGCAGGCATTCAAAACCTATCTGGACACATTCCTACTAACCTGTTCAAAGCTGCCCTGCCTTGGTGGGTAGAGGTTGGACTAGAAGACATCCAGAGGTCCCTTCCAACCCCCTAAATACTCTCATTTGGTGAAGTCAGCTTTGATGAACATGAACTAAATGGGTCAGCCAAGTAAACTCATGACTGCAAAGTTGTCTAATTTGTAGACTAAATTTATAAAAAATACTAGACTATTAAATGGTTGAGAAAGTGGCTGGATGGTGGCATCCAGAAGGTAGTGGCTCAAAGTCCAAATGTTAATTAATTAATCTGCATTAATGACGCAGACAATGGGACTGAGTGCACTCTCAGCAAGTTTGCAGATGACACCAAGCTGAGTGGTGCGGTTAACACACCTGAAGGACGGGATGTCCAGAGAGACCTGGACAGGCTGGAGAAGTGGGTCCATGGGAATCTCATGAGGTTTAGTAAGATCAAGTGCAAGGTGCTGCACCAGGGTTGGGGCAATCCCCAGTCTCAGCACAGTCTGGGGTGAACAGATCAGAGCAGCCCTGCCCAGAAGGGCTTTGGGGTGCTGCTGGGTGAGAGGCTGGACATGACCCAGCCATGGGCACTCCCAGCCCAGAGAGCCAAACGTGTCCTGGGCTGCATCCAGAGCAGCGTGGGCAGCAGGGCCAGGAAGGGGATTCTGCCTCTCTGCTCTGCTGAGACCCCACTGCAGTGCTGCATCAGCTCTGGGGTCCCAGCACAGGAAGGACATGGAACTGTTGGAGAGAGTCCAAAGGAGGCCAAAAACATGATGGAGGGATGGAGATGGAGCACCTCTCCTATCAGACAATTGAGATTTTTCAGCCTGGAGAAGGCTTAAGGGCCACCTCACTGCAACCTTCCAGTTCCCAAAGGGAGCCTACTAGAAAGATGGAGAGGAATCTTTTACAAGGGCATGTAGTAACAGAAGAAGAGGCAATGGCTTCAAACCTGAAAGAGAACAGGTTCAGATTAGATATTAGGAAGAAATTCTTTTCAGTGAGGGTGGTGAGGCACTGGAACAGTCTGCCCAGAGAAGCTGTGGATGCACCATTCCTGGAAGTGTTCAGGGAGAGGTTGGATGGGGCTCTAAGCCATCTGGTCTGTGAAAGGTGTCTCTGTCAATGGCAGGGCATTTTGAATGAGATGATCTTTAGTCTGTTCAAACCCAAACCATTCCATGACTCCAAGACCTGTCCAAGTGATTGTGATTTGTTTTTTCCTCGTTGCTTTTATCATTTATACTCTTTGCAGGAATATTTTATGTCACAAGATTATTCTGTGACTACTGAGGTCACATTTAAGTCTCAAAGCACAGTAACAGACATAAGATTATAAGCACACTTCACATGTGGCAGGTTGTAATGTTTGGCAACATGACAGGGAAAGAGCTCCAGTATGAGCAACTGTATAAATTTAGACCAACTCGATACACTGCAACAGTGTCTGCTTCTAGAAACAAAGTAGAGTACCACAGAAACTCAGTAGAATCCATCACCTGCTTTTTGACTTGCAAGAACTGATATGTGAATCTGCAAGTATACCTATGCCTAGCATTACTTCATCACAGTCAACTGAAATCCTTAGAGTAATGAAGTTGAAAAACAATGTTTAAAGAAATCCATTTCACATATATGATGGTTTTTCTTTAATCACAATAGACAATTTTATCCCATTCTGCTGCATAAAGACACTATGAAGATTCCCTAGAAATATGTTTGCTTGGACAACGCATTAAAAGGAAAGAAACAAACATTACATGTTAAAAAAGTATTTAAGGTCACTTGTCATTCACAAATTTATATACGCAAATGAGAAACAAAAGTAATCACATAAGTATCAGACAATCAATCTCCTTAAACTCAGCCATGATTTCTTAAAGGGTGATTAGAACATGTACGAGAGGAAAAATAACTGAACAGGCAATTTAATTTATAAAATGTTACTAGCTCTTCTGATTGTACAGTTGTAAGAAAAAGATGCACTTGTTTCCTCAGCAGTAGATTTCACTTTCTGTTTCAACTCCTCTTACAGACTGGCATGCTTCAAAAGCTTTTAAGGATTCATTAACATATTCTGAATAAAACGTCACCAAAGAGCAAAAAGCTTTACTGTATCTAACACTCTATCACTATTCTAAATATGTGTAAGTTGATAAACAGATTCAATCTTTCAAATGTATTTTCATCATCATGTGTTACAGACACTATCAATTTCAAAATAGTCCTAGAGAAGGTTTTTATAAATACTTAAACGTAACACAGCACTGTTCTTACACTACTACACAAGAGCAGCTACAGCAATGCAATACTGGAAGTGATACCTACCTACTATCACTGTTAGAAGAACTGTCTTGAAACATCAAGCCACAAATTACTTTAAAAGCATGTAGAAGCTGCACTTAGATGAACATGAATAATCAGAGTGTGGTATGATACTGCATTACTTGGGTAAAAAAATTTGCCTGACAAGTAATTTACCAATTACTATCACATTAACTACAAGTCCCAGCAGAAGGGCAGCTCATTATGGCTTCTACAGCATGCAGAGAGACCACCCAAGAAAGCATGCAATAATTTTTATATCTTAATGTGTGATCCAGAAGCAGGATGACCTTAATCCAGCCATTCCACTTGACAGTCAAGATCTTTAATCTCTTATGAAAGTGTGCCTTTAAGCATCTTCAGAGGTTTTCTTTTCCAAAAAATGTGCCTGTATCTGGCAACACAGATGAAATAAACTAAAATGAACGCAGATGAACTCTATAATTAACAA